AAGAGTAAAATTGGGAAGCACAAATTTGTGCTTCGCGAACGCGAGGCACTGACCGCGTTCGCGAAGGGTAAAAATCCCAGAAACAGAACTTAAGTTCTCGAAAATGGGATTTTCAACCCTTTTCCATTTTTGATCCCGGGTAAGGCGATTCTTGGACGATTTTTACAGGAAATATTGGGGTAAGTGTTACTTATCCTATATTGATTATATTTCATGATTCCATACTCATTTATATCATGAATCCGTGAAATTTTGGGAGAAAAATTAGATTTTTATAAAATCTTCCAAAAACGAAAATTTAAGATTTGAAGGTCCATTTAATATCGAAATTGGATAATTTTTGTATGATTGAACTCGTAGTGGAACGAGTGTTCGGATTTCGTAAGTTTTTCCGAAATTTGAGACGTGGGTCCCACTGTCGAATATTTAAATAAATTTCAGATTTTTATCCGGAAAATTATTAAATTTATATGGAATTAATTCTTATGAATGTATTGAGTATATCAAATTGTTTGTGAATAGATTTGAAGCTTTTGGAGATAAATTCAAAAGGAAAAGTTATGGTCGAATAATTTATTGGAATTTGCAAAGCGAGGTAAGTGTCGTGGCTAACCTTGACTTGAGGGAATAGAACCCTTAAACTATTTGTTATATGAAATGCATGTCAACGACGTATAGGCGAGGCGACGAGTGTCTATACGTAGTAAAATTAATTGTTTGCATATTTATTTAAAAATCATAAATCGTTTTAAATCAAAAATGAATTGTTATAATAATTGTTTCTCTCTTATTCTTTGTCAAATATTTAATCTTAAATTCCTGTAATAATTGCAACATGTTTATTTGATTTATGGGCATTAATTGCTACTTGACATTTAGCATATTAAATATTAATTTGCCTATTTTCTCTCTGATTTTCATAATAAATTGCTATTTGTCATTGTTTGGTTCATGAATAAATTATAATTATTGTGTGCCTTGATACTTAATAGTTTCTCATTGGACGTGGTATTTATTGGAGTAATTTTTATTACGTTTATGAGTTGTTTAAAGTTATATTGGGGGAACGGGTTGCACGTCGCAACAAACTTATTTAAAAGTCTATATTGGGGGATCGGATTGCACGCCGCAATAGACTTATTTAAAAGTCTATATTGGGGGGATTTGATTGCACGTCGCAACTGACTTATTTAAAAGTCTATATTGGGGGATCGGATTGCACGTCGTAACAGACTTATTTAAAAGTCTATATTGGGGGATCGGATTGCACGTCGCAACAAACTTATTTAAAAGTCTATATTGGGGGATCAGATTGTATGCCGCAACAGACTTATTTAAAAGTCTTTATATACTTGATTAAACTAAATATATTGGAGGGTTGTTTAATAAATATATTGTGAAAACGGGTTGCACGCTGCAATGGAAATTGATTGAAATGATAATTGATTATGACTGCTGAGTTGGCCTCAAATATTAAAAATGAGTTACCTGATTTGTTTCTATTGTTATTGTTTTAACTAATATTGCGTACATGTTAATGTAAGTATCCTGCCTTAGCCTCGTCACTACTTTGTCGAGGTTAGGCTCAGCACTTACCAGTACATGGGGTCGGTTGTACTGATACTAAACTCTGCACTTCTTGTGCAGATTTCGGAGTTGGTCCCAGCGGCATACCATAAACTTGCTCGAATTTTAGCAACTCATAGGAGACTTGAGGTATAATTGCACAGCGTCCGCAGTTCTGAAAGTCCCCGTCTATCTTATTTTAGTTGTGTATTTGGTTCAGACAGCTTAATTTTATTCAGACCTTTATTTATATTATTCTAGAAGCTCGTACACTTGTGACACCAATTTTGGGACGGTATTTAGACACCGTTATTTTTATTGATTATTCACTACATTTCAAACTTTACTTCCGCATTTGTTTCTTTGTTATTAATAAATTTAAAAATTATTTTAAAATGGATAATATTATTCTAACGTTGGCTTGCCTAGCAAGTGAAATGTTAGGTACTATCACGGTGTGAAGGTGGGAATTTCGGGGCCTGACATATTTAAACAATACATACACAATCATCGTTAACATCAAAATTAAGTTTTAATGTAGATAATGAATTTAAGACGTAATAAGAATTGTACGTACGTGACAATACCAATTAATCTGCAACGAACATATTCTGCATTAAGTATTATAGTGGTTAATTAGCTATGATCCAAAAGCACTTAAGCGAAGTCTACAGTTGCAGCAGAATTTTGCCTTGACAATATTAATACTAAATAATTCGCAACAAACATTGACACAAGTTAATTAGCTATGATCCAAAAAGGACCTAAGCGAAGTCTACAATTGTATCATAAGCTAATTGAATATAACATGACAATATAAAGGTCTTGTACAGTCTTAGAAATTCTCCATATTAATTTATCATGCTCCAGATTTTTTAGAGGATTTTTCACATTAGTGTCATGTTTAACTTTAGAACTTTTCAAGAATGGCATAATCAAGAATAATAGATTGCTAACTATGATCCAAAAAGGATTGAAAAGAAGTCAATATTTGCACCATAAAATAATTGAAACATCTATACCTTGCAGATACTGGTGCGTGAAGTTACTCTTTTGAAAAAAAGAAATTTCTTGCAGAAAGAATACAAAAAGGATAATGGGACAAAGATACCTTATGCACAGATAAAAGATTTGGTTTTGTGTCGACCGCTTATCTTTCCGTTTATAATGTAGTTGCTTTTATTTGGGTCAAAAAAATTCTTCCATACTTGAACGTCGTTGTTGAAAAGAGTAGTTTGTATTTTTGTTCCATGTGTCAAGATGGACAAGCAATAGACTCACTAAATGAGGCAGTGCATTGAGCGGTGAATATAAGAAACTATTAAAATAATGTTACCTCTTCATCAACGAATATTAGCTGCCAACGTACACTTTCACCGTTCTTATTTTTGTATTCCTTTATTAAGCCTCGTCGAATGACTAAAAATTTAATTACCCATTCTATAGCATATTTCTTCAACTCGCTAATAGGTATGCATAACTTTCCTAGATCTTCTTCGTTTGCCATTGTAAATTATCCTGTAGTAGCTAGGAGAATAGATACAAACACAATATATAGTTGTAATGTAGAGACTTTTTTCTCCATCTAATATATATGCTCTAGTAGTTGAAGCACCCAATGCAATATATAGTTGCAAGACAAGAGTAATCTTTTAAAATCTAATATATTTGAAGGAAGCTACTGATTCTTGTGGTTTAATTAGAAAATCGAGCAACATCGGCTGGCAATATATATATGAATATATCTTAATAAAGTCTAAAAGTAATGACAAGAGTGTACAATTATTACCAATTTTGTCATGTGGCAATCAAAAAAAATGTAAAGAAAATTTTGCGGGAAAAAATACAAGAATAATGTGACAAAGACATTTTATTGCGCACTTATATAGAGTGCATGAAAAATATGAAAAGGCATATAGAAGGAGTTATAATGGAAGATTGAAGATGGAAGAAACAAAATACGAAAAAGTGAAATAACTGAAGGTAATAATAAGTAAAAAGATTTCAATGACTTTATTATGGAAAAGAAACTGAATGAAGCAGCAATCAATGGCTGGAAAAAAAAAAACCAAAACACCAATTTTAGGGAGCTGAAGGAGAACGTGGTGGGGGGTGGGGTGGGNCTTTTGTCATTTTGTCGTTTTGTCTTTTTATTTTTTTGAGCCGAGGGTCTTTCGGAAACAGTCTCTCTACTCCTTCGGGTAGGGGTAAGGTCTGCGTACACACTACCCTCCCCAGACCCCATTAATGAGATTTTACTGAGTTGTTGTTGTTGTTGTTGTTGTTAATATTTTAGTATTTAGTATTAGTACTAGAATTTAGTATAATAATATGAATTAAGTGATATTCAAAATAATTAATTGACACAATATGTTCCTTCCAAATTAAAGACTTTAGCTGTCAAATCCCAAAAAAAAGTTTCCGTTTACGTTAAACCTAGGAGATAAAATAGGCTAAATTAAATATATAATTAGGAATTAGTAGCACATGTTTAGGGAGAAGCAGGGGCGGATGCAAGGTAAAAGAACCGGGTTCAACTGAACCCAAAACTTTTGATGCGGAGTATACATTTATGTGTAAAAATTTACTAAAATTGGAATAAATAGTAGATCTGACCCCATAATTTTAAAAATATAATGGGTTCAATATTAAAAATCTTAAAGTGTTGAACCCATAAACGGAGAAGTGAATGTGGAGCATTAAAATAGGAATTATGAGCTTCTTATTCACTCATCATTTTTAATTAGGATAGGATTGCACTAAACTTACATTCAATTGCCTTAATTACATGAACCTGATTAGCCTTCATGTAATAATAATATTACTATTACATATTTATTATATTAGATGTTTAATATTTTATTACATTTTACTTAAAATTAATTTAAAACAGGGGCAAAATAATAATCTAACGTTGAAGATAGGAGCTTCCCACTTTTAGTATAATATATGATGATACGATGATGATGATGATATATATACTTGTCTTCTAAAATGAACGTGATTAAATTGTTGTCCTATAAGCTTTTGAACTACAGATATTACCAAAATCTCTTTGTAAATTTGCTCCATTTAACGTAAATACCTAACTTTTCTTGTAATGAAATCTTCAGCTATATTACTTCATTACCGATTATCTCCAGTTCATCAAGTTGTGCCTAAACTCTTCTTCACTTTAACTTATGTAGTTGTAGAGAACAATAAAACTGTTATATAACCTTTCCATGTAGAGTGTAACCCAGTGCTCTAAGCTCCCGTTACGCGGGGAGTCCGGCCGTCTGGGGAAGGACCGGACCATAATGGTCTATCCTACGCAGTCTTACCCTGCATTTCTGCAAGAGCATATTTCCACGGCACGAACCCTGACCTCCTGTTACGTCAAAATCATATAGTCGTATAACCAAATATGGATGAAGAGATTCAGATAGTACTGAAGCATTCCAAGATCATTTAAGAAATTTTAGATATGATCTAGTCTGAGCTATAAATAGAGAATTCAAACAGGATTGGAAAACTTGAAAAAGTAAACTGAAACTTGAAAAGAGAAATAAAGACTGAATAAGGAAAAGCAAGAAACATAGCAAATTTCTTGTGAGAAACAAGTCTATCTAGTGATATGAGCAATGAAAGAATCTAACTCCATTCGAGAAGCGCCCCCTAATTTCTCTGTTGACTGCCTTACTGCTGCTCCTAATTCTTCTGCTCTTTTCCTAATCACATCACCTTCTTCTGATTCCATTAACTTCCTCACAACATTCAGTATTTCCGTCACAAAAAAGGCATTAATTGGTTGCTCAGAATGTATAGGCCAAGCAACTATTGGCACTCCCATAGTAATACTCTCTATGCAAGAATTCCATGTACAATGACTCATGAATCCACCTGTCGGTGAATGAGCCAAGATTTCTGGTTGTGGTGCCCATTCTCTAACTAATAAGCCTACCCCTTTTAGTCTTTCCTCAAAACCTTCTGGCAACTCAAATCTTCTAGCTTCTCCAGTAAAGATATCTCCTTTATCGGCATCTCTCAACACCCATATGAACTTTTGTTTGCTTCGCTCTAATCCCATCGCGAGCTCCTTGATTTGTTCATCAGAAAATGAAGTTGACGTTCCAAAAGATACATAAAGAACTGATTTTAGAGGTTGCTTGTTCAGCCAATCCAAACAGTTGTTTTTCTTATTATATGAGATATGATTAGCTAGTTTAGTAGGGAGAATAGGTCCAATTTCCCATTGCTTCTTATTTTGTGCGCTAGCGAGTTGTGCCAACAAGTCAATAAAAGTATTACCTTCAATTACTCGGCTTGTATTATAGATATCACCAGCACTAATACCTATATACTGAACCTGAAAACTTCCTAGTGTAACGGCTCGGCCGGTCGTTTTGAGAATTATAACCCCGATCCTCTATTTAACTGCTTCTTCCATAATTATTTCTGCTATTGTGACTTGCCGAGAGGTTTCGTTTTGATTTTTGGAGTGATTTGGGATACTTAGTCCCTAAACGAAAGCTTAAGTCTTAGGATTTTGACCGTAGTCGGAACTGTTTGAAGATGACTTCGGAATAGAATTTCGTTGGTTCCGTTAGCTCCGTTAGCTCCGTTGGGTGATTTTGGACTTAGGAGCGTGTCCAGATTGTATTTTGGAGGTCTGTAGCTTATTTAGGCTTGAAATGACGAAAGTTGAACTTTTGGAGATTTGGACCGGTAGTGAAAATTTTGATATCGGGGTCGGATTCCGATTTCGGAAGTTGGAGTAGGTCCGTAATATTGAATAAGACTCGTGTGCTTTTTGGGGTCAATCGGACGTGGTTTGATTGGTTTCGGTATCGGTTGTCGAATTTGAAAGTTTCAAGTTCTTTAAGTTTGAATCGGAGGATGATTTGTAATTTTAGCGTTGTTTGATATGGTTTGAGGGCTCGACTAAGTTCGTATGGTATTTTAGGATTGATTGGTATGTTTGGTCAAGGTCCCGGGGGCCTCAGGTGAGTTTTAGGTGCTTAACGGATTGAGTTTGGCACTTATGCAATTGCTAGAGCTGCTGCACCTGGTGTAATCGCACCTGCGCACTTTGGGCCGCAGGTGCAGCGCTGCAGAAGCGGTTTTGACCCTGTCCATATGGGACCACAGGGGCGGCCATAGAGCCACAGAAGTGGACGCGCAGAAGCGGAAGACAAGCGTAGATGCGGGCTCGCAGAAGCGGCCCTTATACCGCACCTGCGGAAATTCCACCGCAGGTGAATATTGATTTCATTAATAAGATGAGTCTACTATGGTTGTATTTATGATATGTGATTTCTTTTGGCTAGATTTGGGCCATTCGGAGCCGGATATTCGTAAAAAAAATATTCTTACGGGTTGATTTAGTTTGGTTCGAGGTAAATGGCTTGCCTAACTTTGTGTGGGGGAAATCTCATTAAGATTTGGAACTATTGTGATATGTGAGCGCCATGTACGTGAGGTGACGAGTACGTACACATGCTAATTGTGGGAAAAAAATCCGATTTTCTTACTGAGCAGCAACCTATTTTCCTTCTATTTTGAGTTATACCATTTTTATGAGTATTAATCTATTTTTATTCTTAATTGAGTTATTTCCATTTGCGTAGCTATCCTGTTTAGTCTAATGCAGCATGTCAACGTGTCTTATTTGCATATGTGAACTCTGTGTAGCATGCTTAGTGAATTTTCTGCTTCTTCCTTGACTGGTACTTAGTCTAAATCGTAAGATTTTGTGATGTAGTTGCATTTCTATTGTTTGCGCTGCATATTTACCTTGGGACTACAGAACGGTATTCCGGGAAATCCTCCCTGTACTGCATATTTACTTTGGTACTACAGAACGCTATTCCGAGAGATTTCCCTATACTGCATATTTACTTTGGGACTACGGAACGGTATTCTGGGATATTCCCTTATCTTGCATATTTACTTTGGTACTACAGAACGCTATTCCGAGAGATTTCCCTATACTGCATATTTACTTTGGGACTACGGAACGGTATTCTGGGATATTCCCTTATCTTGCATATTTACTTTGGGACTACGGAACGGTATTTCGGGAGACTCCCCCTGCACAATTACTTTGGGACTACGGAACGGTATTTCGGGAGACTCCCCCTGCACAATTACTTTGGGACTACAGGTCGGATTCCGATTCCGAAAGTTGGAATAGGTCCGTAATGTTGAATAAGACTCGTGTACAAAATTTGGGGTCAATCGGACGTGGTTTGATTGGTTTCGGCATCGGTTGTCGAATTTGGAAGTTTCAATTTCTTTAAGTTTGAATCGGAGGATGATTTGAAATTTTAGCATTGTTTGATGTAGTTTGAGGGCTCGACTAAGTTCATATGGTGTTTTAGGATTGGTTGGTATGTTTGGTCGAGGTCCCAGGGCCTCGGGTGAGTTTCGGGTGCTTAACAGATTGTGTTTGGGACTTATGCAATTGATGGAGCTGCTGCACCTGGTGTAATCGCACCTGCGCACTTTGGGCCGCAGGTGCAGCGCCGCAGAAGCGGCCATGGAGCCGCAGAAGCGGTTTTGACCCTGTCCAGCTAGGACCGCAGGTGCGGCCATAGATCCATAGAAGCGGACGCGCTGAAGCGGAAGAGAAGTGCAGATGCGGGCTCGCAGAAGCGGCCCTTGTTTGCAGATGCGGACTCAGTCCCCCATAAGTGATTTTTGCACCTGCAATGGAATTTTCGCAGGTGCGGTTGAAGACTCACAGGTGCGAGATGTCTGGACAGAACACTTAAATGCAAGTGTTCGCGATTTTTGCTCATTTTCAACATTTTGAGCTCTGGTTTGGCGATTTCTTGAGAGCATATTTGAGGGGTATCTTGAGGTAAGTCCCTTGTGCTTATTTTGATCAATAATTTTACTTCCCAATGTATTTTCTCACCTAGTTAGTGTGTATTTAAGGTGAAAATTGGGAATTGGAGGCTAGGGATTTGGAAGTTTGATTTGTGGATTTGGAGGACCGTTTGGTGTCGGATTTTAGTAAATTTGATATGGTTAGAATCGTGAGTTAACGGGATTTCGTATTTTATGACTTTTACCCGATTCCGATACGTGGGCCTCACGGGCGATTGTTGAGTCAATTTCGGAATTTTTGTTAAAATATTATTTTCATTAATTAGATGAGTCTACTATGGTTGTATTTATGATATGTAATTGTTTTTGGCTAGATTTGGGCCATTCCGAGCCAGATATTCGTGGAAAAAGCATTCTTACGGGTTGATTTATCTTGGTTCGAGGTAAGTGGCTTGCCTAACTTTGTGTGGGGGAAATCCCCTTAAGATTTGGAACTATTGTGATATGTGAGCGTCGTGTACGTGAGGTGACGAGTACGTACACATACTAATTGTGAAAAAAAAACTCGATTTTCGTACTGAGCAGCAACCTGTTTTCCTTCTATTTTGAGTTATACCATTTTTATGAGTATTAATCTATTTTTATTCTTAATTGAGTTATTCTCAATTGCGTAGCTATCCTGTTTAGTCTAATACAACATGTCTACGTGTCTTATTTGCCTATGTGAACTCTGTGCAGCATGCTTAGTGAATTTCCCGCTTCTTCCTTGACTGGTACTTAGTCTAAATCGTAAGATTTCGTGATGTAGTTGCATTTCTATTATTTGCGCTGCATATTTACCTTGGGACGACGGAACGGTATTCCGTGAAATCCCCCATGTACTGCATATTTACTTTGGGACTACGAAACGGTATTCCGAGAGATCCCTCTATACTGCATATTTACTTTGGGACTACGGAATGGTATTACGGGAGATCCCCATGTCTTGCATATTTACTTTGAGACTACGGAACGGTATTCTGGGAGATCCCCCTGCACATTTACTTTGGGACTACGGGTCGGATTCCTATTGATCCCCCTGCACATTTACTTTGGGACTACAGAATGGTATTCCGGGAGCTCCCCCTGCACATTTACGTTTGGGACTACGAGACGGTATTTCGGGAGATCCCCTTTTGTGTTTGTGTACTGAGCTGTTACCTTCTATTATTTTATTGTTGTTAAATTTTAGCCTTTATTTTATTGCGGTATTACACTCTATATTGTTTTATTATATATTTACCAGTAGGGCCCTGACCTGTCCTCATCACTACTCGACCGAGGTTAGGCTTGGCACTTACTGGGTACCGATTGTGGTGCACTCATGCTACTCTCTCCACATGTTTTTCGTGTGCAGATCCAGGTACACCTTATCAGCCGTACTATTAGTGAGCCAGGACTGCTTTGGAGACTTCAAGGTATATCTGTCGCATCCGCAGACCTCGGAATCCCTTTCTACTCTTTCTCATGTCCATTATCTTCTGTATTTTTCCTTGTTAGACTCTAGTGTATAGAGACACTAGATTTTTCCTTCTATAGTTTGTGATTCACGATGTTTCGGGTTTTGGGATTGTTGTGTATTTTTGAATAGTTGGTTAAAATTATATTTTATTTCATTATTCCACAAAAATGTTAGGCTTACCTAGTTGTAGAGAATAGGTGTCGTCACGACGTCACACTGAGGGGAAATTGGGTCGTGACAAGTAAGTATCAGAGCTCTAGGTTCATAGGTGTCGTGAGTCACAAGCCGATTTATTAGAGTCTCGCGGATCGGTACGGGGAAGTCTGTACTTATCTTCGGGAGGCTATGGAACTGTTAGGAAAATTTCACTACTTTGATTCCTTGTGGTGCCAAAATTGTTTACTTCAAAGATTCTAAACTTCTGTATTCTATTCTCTCAAAGATGGTGAGGACACGTACAAGTGGATCTGATGAACAAGCACACACGCTCCCTGCTAGAGCCGCGAGAGGCCGGGGCTAGGGTAGAGGCTGAGGACATCCACGTAGTGCAGCCAGAGCACCTGCACGAGCTGCCACAGAGGATCCCCCAGTAGCTCCAGTTGGAGGGTAGGCACCTGAGGTGCCAGTTTCTGCACCAGCCCTCCAGGAGACTCTAGCCCAGTTTTTGAGCATGTTCAACATCTTAGCTCGGGCTGGATTGATTCCACTTGCTCATGCCACATCTCAGGCCGGTGGAGGAGCACACACTTCCGTCGCTGGTACTTCAGAGCAATGGGTTTAGGTCGATCAGGTTCCAAAGATTGTACCAAAGCAGCCGATAGCTCCAGCTCAGCCCGAGGTTAGGGCAGTAGCTTCTGAGGTAGAGTAGCTCAGACTTGAGAGGTACAAGAAGTACCACCCACCTACCTTCAGCAGATTGGCCACAGATGATGCTCAGGTTTTCTGGATGAGTGTTATCGTATTCTCCGTACTATGGGCATAGCGGAGACGAGTGGGGCTTTTTTTACTACATTCCAGCTTAAGGGAGCAGTCTATCTGTGGTGGCGTGTTTATGAGCTGAGTAGTCCGGCTGAGGCAGCATCACTTACATGGACTCAGTTCTCGGACATATTTTTGATAGTATGTCCCTCAGAGCCTCAGGGACTCATGGCGCGCGGAGTTCGAGCAGCTGCGCTAAGGTGCTATGACTGTGTCAGAGTATGCAGATCGCTTTAGTGATTTGGCTCGACATGCACCGACCTTAGTTGCCACAATTCTAGAGAGGGTTCGACGGTTTATTGAGGGACTCCATCCCAGCATCCGGAGTAGTATGGCCAGGGAGTTGGAGATGGATATTTCTTATCAGCAGGTTGTGAGTATTGCTGGGAGATTTGGGGTCATGTTTGCCCGGGATAGAGAGGAGAGGGAGGCCAAGAGGTCTCGAGAGACCTGGTTATTATTCTGGAGCTCGTGTCCCAGCAGCTCGGCATGGTAGGGGTTATGTGAGCCGCCCCGTTCATTCAGTTCTTCTAGCCGCCAACGGTGTTCCAGCTCCTTCTAGACCCCAGGAGCCTTATTATGCACCGCTAGTATCCAGTGTGCTTCCTGCACAGGGTGTTCCTAGTGGCCAGTCCAGCAGACCTGGCCCGAGCTAGTGACAGCAACCACAACTTCCCAGAGCTTGTTTTGAGTGTGGTGACACTCGCCATGGGGTGAGAGATTGCCCCAGGATTAGGAGGGGTGCACCTCCACAGACTTCTCAGCCACAGCGTGCTCCACCGGGGTCCTCAGGCTATAATTACAGCACCAGCTGCCACCCCACCTGCTCAGCCAGCTCGAGGTGGAGG